CTGTCTCAAATAAATAAATAAAATCTTTAAAAAAAAAAAAAGGAAATATGAATAGAGAGATCATGCAGAGTGTTTTCTGGTTATAGTTTTACTACTTTTTATGTCTTAGAGATTTTCTGTGACCCTTTATGTATCTGAGAAACATGTCTGAGAAGTCTATATGTATCACCTTGCTTTTATTTAAATTATTTTCAAAGTGGTGAGTTAGTATAAGTAAAGTTTCACTCTGAAGGTGAAGAGAATGTGAGTTTTCATGTAAGTTTTGCATAATTTTAACTCTTCTTCCAAAAAATGTTAAAAATTGTTCTATTAAAACACATATAATATCTAAAGTTTATTTCTATTAAATAAGAGGTATATAGAGTAAGTCAATTGAAGAGATAAAGTGAAGTCATTTTTTAAAAATGTTCCATTAAAAAGAACAGGCAAAAAAAAAAAAAAAAGATCAGAAATCTATAGCCAAAATCATACTTAATGGTGAGAAGCTAGATGCTTTCCCTGTAAGATCAGGAACAATACAGAGATGTCTTTCTCACCTCTACTATTTAATATCATACTGGAAATCCAAGCCAATGCAATGAGAAAAGAATATAATAAAAGCAATACAGATTGGAAAAGAATAAATTAAAAGTTCTTTTTTTTCATAAATGACAGAATTTATAACTAGAAAATCCCAAAGAAATGACAAAACAAAGCTCCTAGAGCTCCTAAGAGATTATGGGAAGGTTGTGGGATACAATATTAATACATTGTGAAATTTAAAACAAAGTACCATTTATATCAGCACCAAACTGAGGGAAATACTTAAATATAAATCTAACAAAATATGTAAAGGAAAACTACAAAACTTTGATGAAAGAAATCAAAGAAGACCTAAAGAAGTGAAGAGATATTCCATGTTAATGCGTATGTAGAGTCAATATTGTTATGCATCAGTTTTTCCCTAAATCATCTATAGATTTAATGGAATCTCAACGAAAATTCTCATGGACATCAACAGACTGGTTATAAAGTTTGTATTGAAAGGAAAAAGAGTCACACTTGGCAACATGATACTGAAGAAGAAAAAGTCAGTGACTGACTACTCAGTTTCAAGACTTACTATAAAATTACAACATCAAAATGACATGGTGCTAGTGAAAGAAAAAGACAAATTATTGACTGGAACAAATTGAGAGACCAGAAATAGAACCACACACATGTATTTAGCTAATCTCTGACAAAGGAACAAAAACAATTCAATGAATAAAAGTTTGCCTTTCAATAAATGGTGCTGGAACACCTGGAACCCTAGTTTATCCAAAAAAACCTGTATCTAGATACAGACCTTATATTCTTTGAAAGAAAAAAAAAAAAAAACCTGCAACTGGATCATAGAATTAACATAAAATACAAAACTATAAAACTTAAGAACATATCTAGGTGGCTTTAGTTTCCACAATGACTCTTTAGATAAAATAACAAAGGTATGATCCATGAAAGAGAAAGTTGAAAAATTGGACTTCACTAAAATTAAATATTTCTATTCTGTGGAGACACCATTAAGAGAATGAAAATACAAGCAACAGATGGGGAGAAACCTTTGCAAAACATATATCAAGAAAAGTACTGGTATCCAAAATGTACAAAGAACTGTCAGAGCTCAACAATAAGGAAATAAACAAACCAACTGAACAATATATAAAAGATCTAAACAATCAACTCACCAAAGAAGACATACATACAGATGGGAAATATGCATATAAAAACATATTCAGGGGCACCTGGGTGGCTCAGTCGTTAATCATCTGCCTTCAGCTCAGGTCATGATCCCAGGGTCCTGGGATGGAGCCCCACATCAGACTCTCTGCTCAGCAGGAAGCCTGCTTCTCCCTCTCCTACTCCCCCTAATTGTGTTCCCTCTCTTGCTGTCTCTCTCTGTGTGAAAATAAATAAATAAAATCTTAAAAAAAAAGTATTCAACATCACATGTCATTATGAAATAGCAAATTAAAACAATGAAATTTCGCTACACATTTATTAGAGTTACTAAAATCTAAAACACTGAAAATATGAATGCTGATGAGGATGGAGCAACAGGAATTTACATTCATTGCTGGTGGGAAAGCAAATAGAACAGCCACTTTGGAAGACAGTTTGATAGTTTCGTACAAAGTTAACCATAGTCTTACCATATGATTCAACAATAGAAACACTATATATTTACTCAGTTAGGTTAAAAAATTATCTCCACACATAAACGTGGACACAAATGTATATAGCAGCTTTATTCATAACTGCCAAAAATTGGAAGCAGCCAAGATGTTCTTTAATAAGTGAATGAAAAAACAGTGGTAAATCTATTCAGTGGAACATCACTCAGTAATATAAAGAAATGAGCTAATGAGCTATGAAAGGACATGAAGAAAGCTTAAACTCATATTTTTAAGTGTAAGAAGCCTGTCTGAAAATGTTACATATTGTATGCTTCTAACAGTATAACGTTCTGGAATGGCAAAAATGTAGAGACAGTAAAAAGATCAATGGTTGCCAGAGCTTCAGGGAAAGGAGAGATGAATAGGGGGCAAACAAGAGATTTCAGGGTGGTAAAACCATTCTTTCTGATACTTTAATGGTGGAAACATTAAAAGCCATGTAATAAACTCTAATGCAAACTCTGCACTTTAGTTAATGATATCAATATTGGGTTATTATTTGTAAAAACTGTTTCACACTAATGCAAAACTTTAATATTATAGGGAACTTAATAATAAATATAGAAAGAACTTTGTGTGGTTGGGGGTAAAGGAGGTATCTGGTCATTTAATATTTTCTGTGCAATTTTTCTATATAACTAAAAATG